TACACAAATGTATTTTTACAAACACGTTTTTCTGCATTTAATACAAAAATTATTCGCAGTTTTTATGTTTAGTTTAGCGGCATCAAAGTCTTTTATAAAGGCAAATAGTCAAACGAAAACAGATAGTATCAAAGGATTGGACAAATTAGATTCATTACGTGGTTCAACAACAGATTTACATACAGAATATACATTTGGTCCTCTCAGCAATGTTAGGTACTTAATGCATGTTTATAAATATAAAATCCTTAATTTTAATGTAGTATAGCTTAATGAATAAAAATATTGTTTGCAGATTTGCTGTCTTTGCCCTAGGTTCATCAGCATATCCAAATTTTTGTGCATTTGGTCAATATGTTGATAACTTATTAGGTGAATTAGGTGGAGAACGTTTAATGCGTCTTGCGCAAGGTGATGAATTATGTGGTCAAGAACAAGCTTTTCGAAAATGGGCTGCTGATACATTTATGGTAAATACTTTAAAAGATTATTTAAATTTAGTTTTTATATTCTTTTGAAGAGATAAAATATACTTATAATATAGGTCACATGTGAAACATTTTGCTTGGATGATAATGATACATTATTAGAAGTTGCTTTATCATTAGGATCTGAGGCATTGACACCTACGACGGTGCGATTTATAGAAGCTGAACCACAACCAATTGCAAGAGGTAATTTTTTGCACAAGTAATATATAAAATTATTATAAAAAATTATTATTAATACATTTTCAAACCATTTCTAGCATTAAGCAAATGTCACAATAGAGATGTAACTGTTTGTACTATGTTACAAAAGACCAACTTGAATGGAGAAGAATCAAGGTAATTTAAAATTAAAAATTAGCTGATGCTGCATGTAATTATCACGTTTAAAATGAACTTTTTTTTATGTTTGATTTGCAGTAGAGCCACATTACTTTTAGAACTTAAATATACAACGAATGAAGAAATGTCCTATAAACCTGGTGATCACTTAGGAGTATTTGCCTGTAATAGGGCAGATATTGTTGATGGAATCTTACAACGATTAGAAACACCATTTGATCCAGATACATCAATTGAATTACAGATGCAAAAACAGTCTCATACGCCTCATGGTTGTTTAATTATTGTTTTATGCAAAAAATTAATTACACTATATTAAAGTGTAACTTATTTGTTATTTTACTTGATGTAGGAATTGTGAAAACTTGGGTACCACATGATAAATACTTATCTAATTCCTTAAGAGTATTATTAACACGATTTTTGGATATTACTATACCTCCAACACCAAATCTTTTGAGATATTTTGCATCCATAGCTAAAAATGCACAAGAACAATCACGGCTTAATCTTTTAGCTTCTGTATGTATATAATATTCTAACATAGTGTACAATTTATTATTGGTAAGAAACTTTTATCTTTCTAAATATATTGTCATTCTATTAGGATTCTGCAACTTATGAAGATTGGAGACACTGGAAATTCCCTAATTTATTAGAAGTGTTGGAAGAGTTCCCATCTGTAAAACCTTTTGCTCCTCTACTTATTTTGCATCTTACACCATTGCAACCAAGATTTTATAGTATTTCTTCTTCTCCATTTGTGCACAAAGGAGAAATGCACCTTACAGTAGCAGTTGTACAATACAGAACAAAAGGTTGATTTTAAAAATTGATAACAAATCATCTTTTTATTAATGCAGAAAATTAATGAATATACTTCTCAGATGGATCTGGTCCTATTCATTATGGTGTTTGTTCTAATTATTTACGTGATGTATTATATGGAGAACCCCTTTATGTATTTGTACGAAGGTAAATCAAATAATATTTGAGATTAATTTTATAATATATTTGACAATTACAATTTTTATTATATTTAGTGCACCAAATTTTTATATGCCAAATAATACCAAGGCACCCATGATACTTGTTGGACCTGGAACTGGTATTGCACCATTTCGTGGATTTTGGCATCATCGCTTTGCACAGATAAAGAAATTACGAAGTACGATATTAAAATATTGCTGTCAGTATAAAATATATGATATCATAAAAATGATAATTAAATTGAAATCTACAGATGAAGAATTTGGAAAGATGTGGTTATTTTTTGGCTGCCGTCAGAGGTGTTTAGATCTTTATGCACAAGAAAAGAAGAAGATGGTAGATGCTGGTGTTTTAGATAAAATTTTCTTAGCACTATCTCGTGAATCTGGTTTACAAAAAGTACATTTATATATATTTTATATTTATATATAAAAGATTAGATTTTGAGATTAGACTAAAGTTTAGACTGTCGAATCAAATTATAATTTTGAATTCTTACAGACATATGTACAAGATTTAATTCAAGCTGAATCAGCTTATATTTATGATATGTTGATGCATCAGCAAGGACATTTTTATGTATGTGGAGATTGTACGATGGCTGAAGATGTTTACCAAACATTGAAACAAATTATTCAAACTCATGGTCAGATGACGGATGAAGAAGTTGAAGCATATATGCTGTCATTAAGAGTAAAATTATGTTTAAAGAACAAATAAGTAGTGTAAATGAGTATATACCTTTATAAGGAATATATATTAATCATATCTCAATTACAGGATGAAAATCGTTATCACGAAGATATATTTGGGATAACTTTACGGACGGCGGAAGTTCATAATCGATCTCGTAAAGCAGCTAGGATTAGAATGGCTGCACAACCATAAAATCGATAATAAAAATGACAGTTGAAATTTAATTACTCTTTAAATGAATTTTAATAGTTGACATATCAAATTTTATGCATATCTTGTAGAAAATTGAGTTTTAATTTCTAATATAAATGTATTTATAGAATCTGTCAGTAATATATTATGCAAGAGAACAAATATATATATATATATATATATATATATATATATATATATATAAATAAATAAATAAATAAAATAAATAGTTGGTGAAATCATGTTAAAAAATATCATGAACGTTAACTAATATCTGGAACATAAATAGAATATACATTCGATTTACAAATACATAAAAAATATAAGTATAATACGAATTAATATTTTCAAAATATGTTTTGTCTTTACTTTATTGCCTTATTATAAAGAGGTTACTATTAATTTTAACAGCATCATTTCATAAAATTAAAATATATTAAATAATTACATACATTGAAATGAGCTGTAAAATATTTTCCTTATCTTTCTAGTTATGCAAAGCTGTGGTGTCAAGTCCTGGCTTTGGTTTCTCTACAACATTTGCTAATAATTTTTTAATTTCTGCTATTGCTTTTCCAGGATTAAGTCCCTAAAAAGGAAAATTATTTTTAATGAAATTACTTCATAAATTTGTGAAAAAATTGTAATAATAAAAATAATTTTATATGATATCCTACTTTTGGACAAGTACGGGTGCAATTCATAATCGTGTGGCAACGATAAACAGAATATGCATCCACCAATTTTTCAAGCCGTTCTTTTGTCTGAGTATCTCTTGAATCAATGATCCACCTATATGCCTAAAAAATATAAAAAATTTCCTATGTATCTATGTCTACATGATAAAATTATCAATGTATTATATAATTATGCAACGATGCAATAAGATTATACAATACTTTAAAATATTTTAGTTTTATAAATCCTTACTTGCATGAGAACAGCTGGCCCTAAATATTTATCACCATTCCACCAATATGATGGACAGGACGTACTGCAGCAAGCACAAAGAATACACTCATAGAGACCATCCTATATAACACAATATGAATAAAAAATTATATTAAAATAATATATTTTATATACAGCTTTTTAGAAATAATATAATATTTTTAATAATATTTAACAATACTTACCAACTTTTTACGGTCTTCAACGCTTTGTAAGTACTGTTGGCTACCTGTCTCTTTAGTATCATTACGTTGAAGCCATGGCTGTATACTTTGATACTGATTATAAAAATTATTAAGATCTGGTACGAGATCTTTAACTATATACATATGAGGTAATGGATAAATCTTACTAGGAGTACTCAAGTTATCATCAATTTTGCTGAAAATATTTTCTTTATAAGAAATTTTATTGTCAATATATAATGTTAAATGAATATTCAATACCTGATACATGCAAGAGTATTAGTTCCACCTATATTCATAGCACAAGACCCACAAATGCCTTCGCGACAAGAACGGCGGAAAGTTAAAGATGGATCCATTTCATTTTTAATTTTGATCAAGGCATCAAGTACCATTGGACCACAACTAAAATACATGCCAATAAAAATAATTTGCAGTGAAACAAATATTTATTTTATTATATTAATGATTTTATATGTAACAATGTATATACCTATTCAAATCTACTTTATAATCTTGCATAAATGGTTTTTCATCAGGTTTATCTGGATTCCATCGATAGACAGAAAAAGTTTTTAATCTGGCCTCAGCATGTTGACCTGCTGATATATGTAAAGCTCGTACCTATAGTTCGAATTTCAACTTCTAATTATATAATCTTTAACATATTTGTATTTTAATATATAAGCTATGTAAAAATATAATAAGTAACATACAAATCATTTTATGATCAAATACTTCGTAATATAAATATAAATCATCATATAAATCCAATACTTCGTAAAATGAACTATTTGACGTTTCTGAAGAAGTAATCTTATCGTTTTTGAATTATTGTCATATTCTTAAATATATATTTCATCTACAGACATATACTATATATTGTACAGATACTCATATTTGATAAATGAAAAACGCATAATAATCATAACTGCAAAAAACTTACATGTCGAAATGCATTTTTACAACTTTGTGGAACGATACCAGCCATTTTTCACGAAGGTAATCTATCTAAAACGTTTATTCATTATATAACTGATGCACGTGCGGAAGTGCCAACATGACCAATACTTTCAACGTTACAATTATCACTCATAAAAATATGTAAACATGAATGATTTTCTATTTAAAAAAAAAATATCAGGAAAAAATGTAAAATTCTTTAAGAACAAAGAGGTAATAATAAATACTTGGAAAGAAGTACGTAAATAGTATTTGTTATTAGAGAAACTCTAGAGAAACTTAAATATTAAAAATATAAATTCTTGTCATGTGTATACTTCTAAGATATTGTTCACAAAGAATTAGTAGAAATTTATATTTGTTTTAATATTTATTCTTTATTATGTTTTTTCATTTGTTTATCAATGATATTATACTTATTACATTGAAAATTTAACAAAATATAAATTGAAACTATCTTTCTTTATACCCTTGATTTGTTTTCTTATATAAAGAGCGATGTATAATACACGTGAGATACACGCCGTCAAGCCAAGACACGTCGATTTATATATATAGCTCATTAAGTTATTTTCTTCTAAAATTATATTATCTTTGAAATATAAAAGTGAAAGTATGTAAAAAACTGTAATAAAAAATAAACATATAACTATTGAAGAAAAGAAAAATGTTAGATTTTGGTGTATAATCAAAGTTTATAGTGAAGTGTTATGAATAACAAGTTTCAAATTTTGAAGTGCATTAGAAAATTATAGAAAATATTTTTTTTTAATATGTATAGGTAATAAAATATTACATAATTATTACTTATCGATAATCGCTAATGTTTTAATTATAGGTTAAGTATCTTATATGAAATGTGTATCATTATTAGGAGATTTTTATCAGCCAATTTTTTATATTCGTTTCGATCTTTTCACCTATTTTATATGGTAGAAAAAATTAAGGTTATTTAAATTAAGGTTATGAAATTATTCATATACTTTCTAACCTATCACGAAAAAAAGATTGTTGAGAAAAAGAAAAGAATTCCTGAATGTACATATTTTAAATAAATTACATTTTTTAACTAATTCGCGCCAGAATTAAAAAATAATTACGTTTGTAATTTCATAAAATAAGTAATATGAAATCGATCATATAATATAATTAATTTTTGATCATTATTTCAGGCATATTCTCGCGATCGAACAACGTATTTTACAATGTAAACATAATTACATAAAAGTCAGTATTAAAAATGTGGCGCAGCAGTCTGGCAAATTGAAAGAATACGAAGGTCGGAAACTTATCGGGTAAGTACATATATTACACAAATTATTGTTTTATTGTTGTTATAATTTTTTGTACAATTATATAGTATATATTCTTTAAATCGAGCATTTTCCATTTGCTAAATGTATGTGTAATTTTCGACATTAAATTTCACATTTAATTTTACATTATAAATAAAAATTATTTGAAATCTCTTCAATAATCAATTTGATTTTTTTTAATTTAAATATGCTGTAGAAAAAATAAGAAAAGAGCAAATTTATTATATATATTAACATTAATATAATTTAAAGAAATAAAATAATCAATAAATATTAATCGTTTAATATATAATTAAAAATAATTAAAATACGCGAATGTTTAACAGAGTTATGATGTTCACTTGTTAATGCAGAGATCGGTTGAACTAGTTTCTATTGTTAAGGAAAGTTAACTGTTCGATTGTTTATATTCACTTTTTTCAGGAGTTACTCTCATATATATATAAATGTTATATATTAAGAATTCAAACATTTTGAATATTTCAGATGCAATTTTAATTTGCTTTTTAAATGGAAAAATATTATTTTTTTTGCAATATATTTAAATATGAAGAAATTCAGATGATAACTTGATGATAACTTGAAATATGTTTGTATATGAGACATGAGTTGAATGAGTAAATTGATATTCGGCATTTGAGTAGAAGCTAAATATTAAAAATTTACTAGAAAAATACATTCTCTTTTTAGGTTTTCAATGGAACAAATTTACACTGTGGTAGCAGATGTAGAGAATTATAAGAAATTTGTACCTTTTTGTAAGAAGTCAGAGATTATTTATAAAAAAGAAAATTTTCTCAAAGCTAATTTAGTTATAGGATTTCCTCCTCTTACCGAAAGTTATACTTCTGAAGTATCAATGGTACCTTCTCGTCTTGTTAAAGCAGATTGTACTGACGGTATATTATTTGATCATTTGAAAACATTATGGATTTTTAGTCCAGGTTTAAAAAATAATGCAAATACATGTGTAATAGATTTCTCTTTATCGTTTGAATTTAAATCAATCATTCATTCTCATTTGTCTAATTTGTTTTTTAATGAAATTGTAAGACAAATGGAAAATGCTTTTGTTCAAGAAGCAGAAAAGAGATATGGTAAACCATGCTTAAAAACAGTACGATTAGAAAGATGACGAAAATAAGATATTTAATATATATTCATTGATAATTATAACAATTGAAAGAATAATTAATTTATTTTATTTGAAAACTATTTAAATATTTTATTTCTGCAATTATTTGTTTAAATAAAAACTTAAGAATATAAATGATATAACAAAAAAGAGTAAAACAAATATGTATTTATAAATATCAAATAAAGAAAACAGTATATGAAATTATTATCTCTTTATCATTAAAGCGATAAATTTTTAAACATTTTAGATTGTAAAGAGTTTACTATAAATTTATTATGTGTTTTTAAGACATACAATATTCCAAAATAATAACCAAATAGGAAGCATTACAGTCATAGTTACATTATAAAACCAATTTCCATAAATCATAGAATCAATAATACTGAATACAAATGCTTGCTTAGTGGCACGATATCCACTAAATATAAGAGACAACAAGGATTCTTCAGGAAAGTGCACATAAGTATATCCTAAAATAACAATAGATGATGCAACAAATGGGTGAAGTGAAATCCATAATATATATAACAAAATTCTGAACCTAAAACGAAGTAATACACACAAATCGTTATTATAATATTAATATAAGTAAAAATATATAATTATTATATTCATATAATTATGTTCTACAAAACTTACCCCTGAACAGATCCTTGTCTAGGTTTACTAAATAAAGCAGCTGGCACATATACAGATGCTGCTAATAATGCTAATGAAAAATTACACATTGCAACACATATAAGAGTTGTAGCTAATTCCACTGATGCAATCACAGAAATCAATAACGTATTTTCATATTTTACTACTCTAAAACAAAACATATTTATGTAGAATAATTATTTATTATATTGTAATATTGATCTTACCTCATTGAAGTCAAAGGCCACAATAACGTTAAAACTGTAGCCATAGCATTACCAAAATATATAGAATCTTCTGTACGCAAATTCCACATTTGTCTACCAATTGAAGTAAATATTTGTGGAGATAAAAGCAAACATACACCAAATGTGTGTGCCCATAATATTTCTGAAGTAATATTCCCAATATCGAATTTTTTTACCTATAAAGAATATTTAATTAAAAATATATTTAAGTCAAATGGTAATAATAATGATTCGCAAAAAATATCAACCTTAACATTCTGAACTTGTAAATTGTCTTTTTCATCACTTTGAAATACTGGAGCTTGGAGTTTTTGCCATATAGAAAATGCTTTTATAAAAAGACTAGCTACAATTAGTACTAAAGGACGCATATATAAACCTACAAAAATTTGTATAAAATTCGTATAAACTAGTATCAAGTGAATTTATAAAATATACTTTTTTAACTTACTTATTGAAACATATCTATCTGTTGAAGGTAAAAGGTAAAAAAAGTACGATTGATGAAAACGTTCTAATAAATTATTTAGCGAGCGTACCATACTCTCTACTACGCGGCCGACTTGATAAAAATTTGCTTCTGAAGCTTTACCAATTCTTTCAAATCCTTCTAAAGTAACAGCTTCAATACCAAATCTATAAAGTAAATATATCATATATTTATATTATGCAAGAATACTTATAATTTTACAAAATACTATACCTGTGAAACAATCCATGATTTCCACTTGGTATACCAGTAGCTTGAGTAACTACCATTGTCATCAATGTGTTAAAATGATACCACCATTTTTTCAACTTATTTGTATCAGTACTATCAACTCTACGTTGGAATGTTTTTTGAATTTCTTCTTTGGCAATCATATTTTGAGCTAGATTGAAAAGATCCAAATTGGGTAGTTGTCCATTTAGTCCCTCAACCTTCAATAATAGATATTAGAAATTAAAATTAAATATACAGATAACTTTAGAAACTGTACCTTAACATCTATAGATGAAATTTTCATTGCATGTAATTCTAAATTAATGGCAGCCTGAATAGAGCCAGCATGGCCAGGTAAGTCACCGGCTACCAATATACCTTCTTGACCACTTGTAACACCGTGATAAGCATCTAGCCATGCCTGCATACCTAATTGTTCATATTCAGTTACAAGAAAAATGATATCTTTGGCCCAATATTTTTGTTCTAAAAAAAATTCATAATATATATTTTTTATAATGACATTATCACAATTATATTGATTCAAAAAAATATACTTCTGCAAAACTTAGCAAATGCTAATAGCAATGCAACAGAAGGTGCTGTACTTAAGTAAACACTATTAATAGGTCGGAAAGGTACACTGACAACAATTGCTTCAGTACTTGCTGCTTTGGGTGCTCTAACTATTCCATAAATATTTTGTCCTGTAAACTAAAAATGTTATTATTTACTTTTAATATTGAATAATGATTTAAAACTATGTGGTTATATAGGAACTTCATTTATTTACTTTTTGTTGCTTAAATGGATATATCAATGAAAAATTATGGATAAAAGTGTCGAGATGAAGTTGATTAAATTTTGCTGACAGCCATGCATAAGGCATACTATCTGGATATCTTTTCATTTCATGTAATAATTCATAATAAAATTGTTTTGATGTTTGATCTAAATTGCTCTCTTTTGTTACTAATCCAGGCAATAAAGCATTTTCAGAGAAATAAGTATCTGAAATAAAATAAATTTGGATTAATAATGATTTTACTTGATAATCATTCATTTATAATTTTAATTAAAAAATTATTTTTACGATCATTAAATACTGGTACTGCTAAAATCATTGTGCATATAACACCGCCAATATAAAGCAGAAAACACAATTGTTTCTCTCTTTTCAAGAGAAATTTTATCATTTTTCCTGTGCCTGCTCTAGGATCAGTTAATAAACCCATTTCTTCCTATTTTTTATCGTTTTATATTGTCGAATAAAATCTATTTGATAATTGTATAAACACTTTTTATTGTTCAAGTAGATATCCGATACAGAAACATTTTTTGAAAAAGTTAAATAATATTACATCATTCTTATACTAAGCCCTGTGAATTCATATCAAGAATATAACTTTAATGACACTATTATATTCTGCTATGTCTTGTAGTAGATATACAAACTATATATAAGATTCCAGAAAAACTAGCGCCATATAGCGTTAAAAAGAGGAAACAGATTTGATATGCTTATCACATGTGATATCAGTATTGTTTAAATTTTGTGATTACATACCAAGATATCATTGAAACAATTCAAATTAATGATTAAATTAAAATTACAAGATATTGACGATGCTAATAATTATGTTGACAAAGATACTCGACGAAATTTTATTACCAACTAATTTCTTACCAAAGAAATAAATTTCTTTTCTTTTAGGGAAATAAATGTTTTTGAATTTGCTATGGTTACACGTGGACCACTCCACGTAGATATGTGATATCGACACACTGATCTTGACGTAGAAATCATATGGAAGAGTTATCGTTTGCTAAGATGCAAGATGCCAATTTGTGATGATTATTTAGCGTGACATGTATTAACAGAGCATCTCTTCAAAAATTAACGCTTAACAAGATGGAGTATTTTAAAAGTAGTTTAAAATCTGTTCTGGGTTCTACGCCGTCTGGAAACCAGCCATCGGGTGCTGAGACGGTATACATGATATGTATTTATACCGGATAACCTTATGATTATTTATCAAAACAATAAGTTTTGTTTCTTATTTTTAAAAATAAATTTAATCATTACATTTACAATCAGTATATGTTTGATCTTGTAATATTTTTGTGTTATATAAAAAATTGTTTCAATTTTGACTACATGTATTCTAACATATAGGTGGAGAAGTTAGTGAACAGACTTTTATCATCTACTTTACTCGATGATAGAAGAGATGCATGTCGTGCTCTTAAAGCTTTATCGCGCACTTATCGTGTGGAGGTTGGTGCACAAGGAATGGATGCCTTAAGGCAAGTGTTAGAAATGGATAGAACTGATTGTGAAATCATTGGCTTAGCATTGGATACTCTTTGTAATATAACAAATCCTGAAACATTTAGTGAGGAAGGTGAGGTAAAATGCAATCTTACTATGACAAGTTGTTATAGTATTACAAATTTTCTATTTATTTTTTTAGTTGACAAACATGGACCAAAAAATAAAATAGGTGAACAGTTCACTGAAATATTCATTAAACAGCCAGATAGTGTCGGATTAGTTCTAATATTTTTAGAAGAATTTGACTTTAGAGTTAGATGGCCAGCATTAAAATTACTTACACATTTATTAGCTAATAGGCCAAAAGAAATTCAAGAAATCATTTTGGTTAGTCCAATGGGAGTTTCAAAGCTAATGGATCTTCTTTGTGATAGTAGAGAAGTTATAAGAAATGATGTATGTGTTATTTAAAGATATCTGTAAATATATTAAGTATTTAACATTTATAAATACTTATAGTATATAATCCATACTATTAATAATTTATAAACAATACTATCTGTATTTAGGTATTGTTGTTACTGATACAATTAACAAAAGGCAATGCGAACATTCAAAAAATTGTGGCCTTTGAAAATGCATTTGATCGTATTTTTGATGTTATCATGCAAGAAGGTGGAGCTGAAGGTGGTATAGTTGTGGAAGATTGCTTATTATTGATGCTAAATCTTCTTAGAGGAAACATAAGCAATCAGACCTTTTTCAAAGAAGGTTATTGTATATTCTATAATATTTAATGGAACATACAAAAGATTAGAGAATAATTTTTTTATAAAATTATAATAGGTAGTTATATTCAGAGATTAACACCCATGTTCCAAATGCAAACAGAAATAGATGATAATCTGATAGGTTGGAGTCCACAAAAAGTATCCAATGTCCATTGCATGATACAGGTTGTTCGTGCTTTAGTAGCACCCAGTTGTCCTGCTCAGGTATTTATAACTAATACAATGATAGAGATATGATATTATAAATGTAGTGGACTAAATTTTTGGACATATTTAAAGGCGTTAGCTGCTTGTCAAAAAAATATGAAAGCTTGTGGTTTATTACAAGCTTTATGCAATATACTAATGGCCAGTGGAATACCAGCTGATGTGTTAACAGAAATGATTAATGCTGTAGCAGAAGTTATTAGAGGAAACGCTATTAATCAAGAATATTTATCAAGTGTTATGGCACCTAGTGCACCTCCAAGGTAATAATTACATGCGTGAAAAAAAGTTATTGTTAAAAATTTTTTAATTGTTTTATTACAGACCTGCTATTGTTGTTTTATTAATGTCTATGGTAAATGAGAAACAACCATTTCTTTTAAGGTGCTCTGTATTATATTGTTTCCAATGTTTCCTTTATAAAAATGAAATAGGACAAACTCAACTAATTCAAACTTTATTGCCTCAAGGCAATGAAGCACCATCTTTAACAACAGGTTTGCTGAATAATATTATTACTAACTTTTATATTTCATTAAGAGCTCAATACATATTATATTTAATCTAAAACTCTATTTAAAATTGAATAATTCATTAGACAAAAATATTCTTTTCAATATCTTTAGTTCTTAGAAGTATATATTTAGAGATAAAAAATAGTTTCGAAACTTGTTGGTAGGACAGTTGCTGTGTGGAGGATTATTTTCTCCAGATCCACTTTCAAATTGGTTTTCTGCAGTGGCATTATCTCATGCACTGATTAATAATAATGTTCAAAAGGAAGAGCTCTTGAGAGTTCTTCTTGCTACTAATATCGGCAAACCACCAGTTACTTTGATGCAACAGTGCATTTTGTTATTGCAACAAGAAAACAAAACTCAATCTAAATTAGGTCTAGTAATGCTACTCTGCAGATGGACTGCTCATTGTCCTGCTGCAGTGAAGGCTTTCTTAAATATTGATTCTTCCGTTACATATTTAACAACTCTTTTATCATCGCAAGAAAATAATGATGATTTACAGGAGACTTTATTTCAAAACATGTGTGCTCTTTTAATTGGTTTGTGTGTACATTTTAATGACAACAATGTACAAACATATACAAAGGTATAATGATTTCATGATGTTAGATATATCGAACATTTCATTTATAATATTAAAACATTATTATTTTTAGGAAAAATTATGTAATTTAATAGAAAATAGAATTGGCCTAGAAAGATTTCAAGATATTATTGGTGGTATATCAAGACACGAGGTTTATTCTCGGGCATTGAAACATCCTCAGCCTGCAGCGAAAAATCCATCAGAACTTTTGCTAGATTATGAATTTTGTAGATTAATAAAAACTTTAGAAGGTATATCACTATTGATTTTATTATGATATTAAAGTTTGGAATTTGTATTTAATTAAAATCATTTTTGATTTGTAATAAATTAGGGGCAGTAATAAAGTCAGTATCAGATAGTAGCATACAACAAAAAAATCAAATGACAGTATTGGCACCAGCTGATTGTACTTTAGTTACACAGTACAAAGATCTCATTAGAGAACAAGATATACAAGTACAAAAATTAAATCAAACCGTGGATACACTCATGAAAGAAAAACAAGAATTAGAAGTATGTATAAATAATAAGTAATACAAACATACACGCACACACATATAGTTGATTTTTAATATATTTATAAATTATATTTTTATAATACGCAGTCCCACGTACATGAACTTAGAACTACTGTCAGTTATTTGAAAGATCAAAACTTGGTTCTCCGTGCTGCACAAACAAATTTATGTGATGGAAAACAAGCTATACCCTGTGCAAATAATTCATGTTCTTCGAAAAAAGAACTTGATAGATGTAAAGACATAGTGACAGAGCTGGAAACAAGTTTAGCTAAGCATGCTTTAATAATAGAAGAATATAAACAAAAGGATACAAATAGAAAAGAATCTATCCTTGAGGATAAGTTAAAAGAAAAAACAGAAGAACTTGAAAAAATAAAAAAAGATCAAGAAGATCTTCTAGAACTTTTAACAGATCAAGATAATAAAATCTCGATGTATAAAGAGAAGCTTATTGCTTTGGGAGAAAAGGTATTAAATTTGTATATACATATATCGTAATTTTTTCTGTATAATTTAAATTGTACAATTATTTATGCTTTATAATATTTATTTGAAAATTAATTGATAATTTATTTGTAGGTAGAATCAGATGAAAGTTCTGGAGATCTTGATACTGATGACTTACCAGAATCAAGTAATTAAAGTATTATAATTATGGAAACAAATATTTGATAAGATTGTTAATAAGATCATGATTAAACTGTATGTTATCTAAATCTAAACATTTAACATATTTATTTCATTCAAAACTGTTATTTTAATAAAAATTGAATCTTTATCTAAGAATAAAGAACTGCATCATACTTTAGACATAACAAAGGTGATTGTATGGTATACTTTGAATTATTTATTTATCATGTTTATTTATTCTTATAGTATCGATGACTACAGATACACATAAATTGGTATCCAGCTTTTAAATAATTTAATCTATAATTATTGATTCTCTACTATTACACAACTTTATTTATATACATATAATGCTATCATTTATATTTCATTCTGACGCTGTTTTATAACTGCTTGAACGCATTTAGCCATAGTTGGAGAAGCACGTGACACAGCATCAGTCATGAAAAATTGATCCAATGATTTTTGTTTTATGTTTATTGGATCTGGTAAGAATGAACCTTTTGTTTCCTGCATTAACATTAAAATGAAAATATTATTTATATATTATTTAACAAATATTTAATAAACATATACATTCATACACACCTTGGATAATTCCAATGCTTCTGCAAAGAAATTAGCTGGTTCCAAATCACCATATCTGACTAAATGCGGTGAAACTTCCTCTAATCTTAATCGTACATCATTTAAGTCATCAT